CTCATCCCTCCCTTCCCCTCTCCTCCCTCCAAACTTATCTCTCACTCCTATATGAAGCCCCGACGCTGGCCGATGCCACGTGAGACCTTGGCCCCTCCAACCCTCCCTTCTAAGCCAATGACAAATTTCCTCAAACTGAAATCTGAGTCCTCTGAGTCGTCACAATGGTTCAAACCTAATTCTCGTGTCCTTGCATGGAGGACGTGTAAGTAAGAGAGTCGCTTATAGGCTAGGGGCCTCTCACTAGGTTGATGCATGCAAGCATGTGCCACACGAGCACCAGGCTACTGTGCGCAAGCATGGGTCGTGCACGCATTGAGCTGATGTGAGTAGGCATTTGCAGCACAACTATTGGACTCAATACATTAGGCTGCCACGCACTGGAATGTGTCGTGCGCGCACTCCGAGCTGTCTTGCATAGATATGTTAAGCAGCCTAGGCTGCTGTTACATGGTAGTTGCTTATGTCACCACCTCCACCTCCTAACTCTAAAAACGTGGTATTTTTGCAAAGTGAGATTTTTTTTTTTTGAAATAAAAAATGTGACATATTTATTACTTGCAAGCATCAAGGAGATGTAAAATTCGTTTACAAAAGGATTTACAATTCAGTTAACATATCAATTTGATTACCGAAATTTTCAACGTAAAACAAATGTTGTTTCATTATCAACACACCAAGAGTTTGGAACCATCTCTTCCCATTTCTATCTTTACTCTCTTCCACTCCCTTAAAAACTCTTCTATTTTCTCCTTCCATACAACCAAGAAATAGCCAAAGGTATGAGTTTCAAAAACTTCTTCCCACCTACAATACCCTTCCATGCCCAAATTTCATCCCTGATGTTACCCCCGACACCTAGTGATACCCATGATCCCAAAGATCATAGACCATAAACTATATGTAGGACATTGAAGAAGAATGTAATCACATGTCTCTATCGCATTCTTGAATAGACAACACCAATTCATCACAGTCTTACCACGTCTTATAAGCTTGTCTTATAGTCAAAATGCTTCCACAAGCAGCTTCACGAGCAAAAGAAGCAATTCTGGGTGGTGCATTTAGTCTCTATATCTGTCTTTAAAGAAAATTTTCTTCATCACCCTCTCTCTTGGTTAGATGTTTATAGAATCACCCCACATTGAATTGACCTATAGGGCTTAGGGTCCACAAATGTCGGTCTTGGTCCTCATTGAGTGCAATTGAAGATAAACCATTTAGCAATAATTCATATTCTTCAATCTCCCAATCATTAAGATTATGCATCACATCCACATGTCACTCCTTCCTCCCCTCCCCCTCATTGAACACTTCCTTAACAAATCTGTCTTTCTCACATGCTATAGCAAAAATCTGTGAGAACTCCCAATGTTTTATCATCAATCCAAATGTTGGACCAGAAGCATATTCTCTCCCCATCGCCCACTATTCATTTAATACATTCTTAAAATTTCTCTCTTTCGATGCAAATCCGCTTCTATAACCCTATTCCATACGGTTTAGTCGATACCCTCTTATATCTCCCTCTATCCATGGTGCCAAATTTTGCCTCAATAATTCTCCTCCATAAAATATCACTTTCCTTCAAAAATCACCACAATCACTTCCCATGCAAAGATTGGTTCTTCTTATAGATTGATCTCGCTCCTAGCTCTCCCTGATTCAACAGTTTTTTCATTCTGTCCCACGCCACCAAAGGCTATTTCCTTTGCTCTTGCGAATCGCCCCATAGAAATGTGCTCTTTATTGATTCTAGTTTTTTTGCTTTCGACTGAAGATGGACATGTATAAATAGAAAATGGCTATGTACTTCTGATATGTTATGCACCACATTAGG